TATACCACTTCCACAGTTGTATGTTTGAACATCTCCCACTGTTAATCAGTTGTTCTTGAGTCACAGAATAATAAATTATAACATAACTATAACATAATAATAAACTAGAAACATAAGTACGCGCATCTCGTTCGTGCACACGTAATCAGCCATGTTTTAGTCGGAACCAGTGCTGTTCAGTGAAATTTTATCTATTGTGCAATGAAAAATTAACCCCGTTTAATTTATTTACGGCAACTCTAGACATAATATGCACTATTTTATTCGTACTGTTAGTTGAAGAATAGAATAAATTATTTCAAATGTACTAAATTATTAATCTTAATTTAAATTATAGTTCTGTCGTAGCTTGTCACAAATTTCTTAATTTAAGTCTATGTTTCCGTTTAAAATATGGCGATCGTGTGCTGACAAACTTCAAAGGCAGCATGCGAGAGTGGGCATCCTGACTGTTATTTATTCTGTGCTTGAGTAAATGCTTTGATATTTTTAATTTTATGATTTCCCATTGACTAAGTTTGACTGAACCACTGGTATTATACACTAATATATGCTTTAATATTAATAATTTACAAATATGTGACAAAAAACATCAAGAAAGTTTAACAACGCTAACGACTGAGCTCTAACACTTCCAATATAATATGTAGAAGAAACCGACTAAATTCTGACCCAAGATTTAGAAGTACTAGGGGGTTCTTTTAAGAATTCAACTTAATGCAACTGAAACTGAAGTAGGCTGTTTTCATCTAAACAAGAAACTGTCATACGAAAAACTTAACGTCTACGTTAATAAAACGCAATTTAACCATAATAAATTAATTGGGCATGCCTTTAGAGAAAATATTAAGATTCGAAGAGTAGCCAAATAAAGTTGCTCATTACCACAGAAACAAGATAACCCAGAAACCCTGTGGCTTGATATTAGGAGCGTCAAATGAATACAGAAATTTTGATAGTATACAAGGCAACTATCGAACACAGTGATTAATTAAATCTTGCCCAAGTACTTTCGATCAATAGATCATCTTCAGGGGCATCTGAAATAAGCCAAGAAACGTTTTTTAGTAAGAAGGAAAATAATTCACTTGGATAAAAAACTCCAAGTTTGTGGTTGAAAAAAGTTTTTATGTGATAAACGTTTATAGACTTACTTCGTCAGTTTTGGGCTATCCGACATGAGTAGAATGTCATAAAAGTAAAATTGGACATAACAATACAATACACAAAGACAAACAAACACTTTAAAACTTTTAAGGAGAAGCTACATGTTATACAGAAACCGGAGACAGAATGGGCTCCCGGTCTAGCGGAAATGTTGAGATGACAAGTGACAAATGACAGCTTGTAAAGGGCAGTTATGTGATCTGCACCTTTCAAAATTCTATGAAACTAAATATTGACCAAAGGTCCAACTGACACCACTATATGAAATCAACTGATGAAATATAAAATTAGTATATTTTTATGTAGATTGAATAATCCAAATCTCACACTCAAACCTGTCTATAATAATTAGGATGTTAGTTTGAGAGCGATTGAAGTTGACATAAAGTATGAATGTAAGATAAGACTAAACAATATATTAGACAGTGGATGGTTAACTACAATAAAATGGTCCACCAAGCACGGATCAGTACTGTAAAAAGAAAAATCTGAATATGCAGTTAAATTACTAAAAGTTATTGAATACAGAAATATACTTATAAAAGGAGAACTTTCATGATACTGAAAATCTACTATTTTCTACAAAATCACAAAAAAACTCAGACTTGGCTACAAAAACCGAACTCAACATAGACAAGAAATGTAATTACGAATGATCTGAAGACCAATTCAACAAAAATAACCCTGTATAATTAAAAGTTCTTCCAACATCAACTTAGCAGGCAGAAAGACGTTGATGAACACTAAATAGCATCAGGACTTAACCTGTTCAGTTTGCATATCTATTACATAAACGAGGCAAATCTTCATTGTGCGGCTACATGAGGAAGATAGTGCATCTATTTCCAATCCTTGGAAGCTACAATCACGCTAATATATTAAACAAATAATACACAAAATAAAATAAAACAATTCTAATATTTCAATGTTCAGTTTTTTCATCATCCTAGGACTTGGTCAGACATACCTTTCATCATCGTTGGCAAAAACTGTTCTTCGGCTATTTGAAAATTCTATCATACTACAATATCGTTGGAACAAAATTTTGTAACAATTTATTACAGTTTGACTGGATACTGTTTTTAAAATATTATTAATATTTTTGTGCCTTTATTTCGGCTGGTATTCTGTTTAATTTTATGTGAACAAGACTGGGATACGTACAGATATAATCTAACTCTACCCAATAAAGAAATTAAGAAAGCCAAAAAGAATTCATGGAGAGAGTTGTGCGAGGAGATTACAGATATCCCGGCCTGCTCTCGAATCCATAAAGTTTTGACAAAGGATGGTGCTACCATTAAAGAAGTAGGTTTCCCAATAAAACTTAAATAGCATATTTACTCAGAAAACTAATGACCAAAGAGGAAAGTCTTAGAGAACTCATAAACACGCACTTTTTGGCCTCAACAATTCTGAATGATAAAGATTGGCGAACTAACATAGATCAAAGGCCGAAACAGATAGCATATACCCGATACTTTTGCATATGGGACTAGAGCTATTAATACCACACATATGCAAGTTCCCCAAAGCCAGTTTAGCGTGGAGGGGTCTTACCGAAAATAATGTTAAAGCCTTATACTTGCCTAAAGTAGGTAAAGTATCATACCTAACACCAAAATCATATAGATTAATAAGCCTATCTTCTTTTCTGTTAAAAACGCTGGACAGGCTTCTGGATACGTACATAAGAGACGAAGTGCTAAAATATAATCCTCTGAGTAGGCGTCAATATGCATAGCAATCTGGTAAATCTACGTTGGATGATTTAAATAGACTTATCCCAACATGACTGAAGGACAAAGAGATAGCAATGTCCGCTTTTTTAGATATAAAAGGGGCGTTTAATCATGTTTATACCCGGAGATTAGGATAGGAATATCCACTATGGGTAAAACAACCATCAAAGCAAGTTCACATTGTCCACAAGGAGGATTTCTGTTACCTCTAGTTTAAGCATGAATGATCTTTTCAAAAATCGGTCCATAAGACTTTTACTGTCTAGGATAGGCTGATGATATTGTAGTCATCGTCAAGGGCAAATTTGCCCAAGTGGTATTTGGGAGAATAAAAGCAGTCCTAAATATAGTTGATAACTTGTGTAAACAAGAGATACTAATAGTCAATGCCCAAAGAACATTATTCGTTAACTTCATAAAAAAAGACAGCATTACAAGGCCTTAAACCACCGGTACTGGGAGGAACAGAAATTTTAATTGCCAAAGAAACAAAATACCTAAGGGTTTATTTTGGCCATGGCTTACATAGAATACTCACATATAATGACTATACTGACACGCACACAGAAAACTACTATGTTCTTCAGCAAATGTAGAAGAATGTGCAGTAAGAATTGGGGGCACATAACCCCAAAATGACCTTATGGTTATACACGAGCGATATTACACCAATGATAGGTCTGTGACGTGCTGAACAAAGGTACAGCAAGTGAAGACGATAAGGCTCTAAGTAATAATAAAGGCTAGCATGCCTGTGTATTACAGAGACCAAAAAGACGACCTCTACAGTGGCGTTGGATGTCCTGCAGAATCTAACACTACTTCATATCTTTATACAGGATAAAGCAGATCAGTGATGCACATATTATTACATAGTTAGCCACACAAAAGCAATGCGCATAGTGATGTCAATAGAAAGCTAATCGAGGAGCTAAAAGCAGATATTGTGATGGGGCAACCCATCGATGCAACAGCTCCTAGATACAGCTTTACAATAAATTTAAAATTAATATACCAAGCATGGTAGACTGAAAGACAGGTGTACTCATAAAAGCGGAAGCTACCTGGAACACTGACACGCTCAAAAACATTAAAGGGTGTAGGAGTTGGTATAGTAGGGATATATTTCCCGGTAAGTCTATTTAAGGATATGACAATTTTCAGGCAGAAATAACGTAATATATTACTGCGTGGAAGAAATATAGAAAGGCACAAAATAAGGTGTCTGTCGATTGCCACTTTCACAGATCAACAGGCAGCGCTTAAGGCACTCAATTCTATTAAGGTCAATTCTAAGCTAGTATGGGATTATATGGGGCCCTAAATACACTAAGAGACCTTAGCAAAGTTGCAGTAGCCTGGGTTCCGAGGCACGAGGGTCATAAGGGCAATAAAAAAACAGATAAAATGGCCAAATAAGACTCATCGATGCCAGCCGTTAAACTGGAACCCTTCTACGGTATTGCATAGACAATAACAAGAACAACTACAAAAAAGTAGGTGGCTCACAAATCTCTGGAATGGTGGAGAAATTCACCAGGACAAAGACAGGCGAAACAATTCATTACAAATCATTCGCCAAAATTTAAGGCTCATCTAATAAGCAAAGACAGGAAAACAGTCAAAGCCATAGTAGGCTTATTTACAGAGCACTGTAAGCTGAATATGCCGTTGAAGCTGATGAGGTTGGCAGATGATGACCTATGCAAATCCTGTCACCTCGAAGAAGAAACAGCAAATGGCAAAGTGGCAAATGTGTGGTTCTTTGCATTAGGTAAAGAAAAGCCACAGGCAAATTACATGCTAGCAAACTGCATGAAAGGTTCAGTCTCGAAGATATTAAACCATTTAAAAGGAGTCATGCTAGAGGACCACAGTAGATCTGAAAAGATCTACTGTGGTATAAGCGGATTAAGTCAAAAACCACCTAATTGAATATATCTATCTATCTAACCCTGTTTTTCTTTACTTATTAATTTAGATAAATTCTAAAATAAACATTTTTATAATAAAAATCATTTGTGTTTGTGTTCACGTTTTCTACGGAAATTTAAATTATAAATTACTCAAAATAAATTGTTACATTTTTAGACAATAGAGCCCGAAAAGAAGCCCTACTGTAACAATTGCACATTCCTAGTGGAAATATGCATGAAACTGAACTATACGTCCAAACCAGAATGTGTCCCAGTCAAAGATATCGCCGATCTAACGGGATGTGGAGGATTATGTCAAATAAATACCCAATTTTGCCAAATCTTAAGCCAAAAATACAAAGTTTTTCAGTGCTCCCCCCGAAAGACTGTTCTGAATTGTAATAATAATCAGTTTAATTGTGGAAATATGTGTATAAGCGACGAGAAAAGTTGTGATGGAAAGCTGGACTGTTCAAATGGATCAGACGAAGAAAATTGTGGTAAGTAGAGGAAATATTTTAATAAAGTTACGAAAAATATCGAATAGTATATACTTAAATCATATTGTAACAAATTTTTTGTTATTTTGATGTATTTTTAGCTTTTTAGACTAGATGTACGAAATACACGGACTTGCTAGAATGATAGAAATGACAATAAAATCTGCTTCTCTGAAAAAGAAAATATCTGTCCTCAACAATAACTGGTATATTTGTCGTATAGAAGAACATTGAAAAATGGCTAGAAAACTTTTTACTCCGAAAGAAAAGCGCTGCTACAACTTAAATATAAAAACAGTATACTCAATCTAATATAAGTACATGCAACCACATCAGAAAAAGAAGAGGATGAAGTAGAATAATTTTATTCACGAATAACGGATATAATTAACGAATAACGAAATAAATAACAAAAAGCCTCAAGAACCAGCACATCAATATTCTATTAGGCGGCTTTAATGCAAAAATTGGTAAAAAAAAGTAGTTGCTATCATTGGAATATGTGAATTTGGCACACGTAAAGATCGTCTCATATAATTTTGCAAAGAAGAAGAATACATGGAAATATCTGATCTTAATACCTACCAGGCGAATATATAGGTAACATTTTTAGTGGAAATTTTTGCGTGGAAATCAAGACAATATTCAAAACGATTGTACGGAATTAAATTGACTGTACTTTGAATAATCACAAATTTAAATCAAGTACCCAGAGTGGAAAAATTTACCTAGGCATGGATGTAGAAGGACAAACCATAATCAAGTCGTGATCAATGTCAAAAACCAAAAGCAATTCGTCAAAGCAAACCAAACAAGTGCAATATTCAAATAATTTAAAACGAAACAGGAGGTGGAGAAAGAGAAACCACACGACAAATGATAAAAAATACTATAGTCGGAGTACAAAGAGAAGAACTTAAGCAAGAAAAAACTTAAGAAATGGAAAAAATTGATAACGAGAGGTATTTTTGAACTCGATGGAAACGTAGACAATAGACTTTATATATTCAACCTCCGCAAAAAAAAACTAAAAGAAACCAAGAATAAATATAATATACCCATTCTAGCTGACAACAACAGAAGAATAATTATTATAGAAAAAAGCAAGTAAATGCAAGTATGTGAGGAATTTATCGGAAAATCTTAATCGGATAATTTTAAACTAATAGATGATAACCAAATAACGCTACTAACACATCTCTTCAACAACATCTATAAAAGTAGCGTTATCCCAAAGGAATCGCTTTTAAGTCTAAATTTATAGCTATACCAACAAATTCGACAAATTTACCAAAAATATTCTTAAAGATCATACTGATTCGTATTTATAAAAAATGTGAAATAGACATAAGTGTCTAGCTTAATTTTCTGTATAACTACAGAAGCTTAATTCCATCTAGCTTAATTTTCTGTATAACTACAGAAAATTAAGCTAGATGGAAAACACATCCGCATAATTCAAAACCTTTATAGAAACCAGAAAGTAACCGAAAATATTCCAACCATACTACTAAAAGCGTTCATATACAAATAGGCGTCCGACAAATCTGTTGCATGTCTCCATTGCTCTTTAACTTGTACTCTGAATGAATATTCAAAAAAGCACTAGACGACGCCGACGCCGAAATTGCAATAGAGGAAAGGCACCAAATTTGAGACTCCTTTTGTCGCTGAGGTGAATCCACGGAAGGCTGTGGATCGCCTTCAGTCGCTCTGTCTGCTAAGGCAGACGATCTGAGAATCCGCTTTGACTCCATTTGTATCTGTAATGACTCAAAACAAAAGGGGAAACAGGGAAAAAAGAAATAAGAAATAAAAGACTTGAAGACAAGTGGTTTTATTTTAATAACTTTTGGCCGTAGTTGTCAGTTCGTCACTTTTTGTCCCTCTGCAAGAGTATATTTCGGAGTGCTTCCGTGGACGACGTGTGTGACCGGGTAAAAGTGAATGGAACACACTTCTAGTTTGTTCCGAGTTGCCCGCTCACAATACGATGTACAAAAGTTTGAATTTCGGAATAGTAATATTCGGAAACCGTCTTTAGTACACGTATAGAATGGGTTAACAACTCACTGGTCAAGCTTAGGAAGGTGTGCTTTGTTGCTATGCCGTTGTGACAAAGCAGAAGTACTAACTGACTTCAGACGCGCCACGTGGAGGACCCGAGAGGTACCTATAACAATTGGTAAACACAAGGAACGAGCATTTAGGTGAAACAATTAATACGCAAGAAAAATCGAAATATTAAAATACGAGCTGGAAGAAAGGTAAAATGGTAAACGAATAAATATACACACAAATATACATATATAAGTATCAAAGTAATATAGACGTAAAATGAGCTGTAAGAGAAAGTGTGGTTAAATGTGATATGCTGGAAAAAGAGACAAAACAGATATTCAAATGCCCTGGAGCAACGGTGTTGCGACAGAGTAAATAAAGCACGTAAAATAATAATAGCAATAATTGACAAACGACAAGGTAAATTAAAATGTGTATCAATATCGAAATCTTTAGGTTAAAAGCAAAATATAAGTAACACCTACAATTGCACAGCAATTGGTAAATATATCAGAATAACATATAAAACAGGTAAATAGCAACAAAAAAATGGAAATAAACCTGAAAGTAACATATATAAGAATTACCAACAATATTCTATAAGAATATTAAAAATACCAAGCTGGAACATTGAAGAGCGGTTGAGAAGTCTAATTCTCAACCAAGGTTTCGAGTAAAAGAACTAATGATTTAACATAAATGGGTATTCCCCAACCAGAGGTCTTATCTAGTTCAGACTCAGAACCGAATAGGCCTTCTGGAGATTGTGCAAGTTTTTTATCCTATTTTCGTCCTTGGTGAGGTATGCAAAATGGGCGTGACCAGTAACTCACCAATCAGAAAATAGGATAACGTCCGGAGCCAATCAGAAGGCGTAGAGGTGCGAAATGAGCAGATCCGGATGCGCACTGGTTTAGGTGACGCTTCCGTATCTGGTGACACTTTCTTGAAAAACACATATAAAACAGAATATTCAAAAGTATTGAAAACATTTATTTCGAAAACTTAAATTTAATGTTTCTGGAATGCAACAAAAAAAAATAAAGCGAATAAACATATATTTTTGCAAAAAATACTTTTAATTTTTTTTGCGACATTTAATTTAATTATCGTCGGAAAATTTGCCGGTGCAAAATAAACATTCCGCGTCGTTTTCTCCACTTTCGTTAGACGATGAATCAGCTAATGGAAAGTCTTCACTGCTATCTGAGCTTGAACTCGAAGAAACTTTTCGCTTTCTTCTTGATGTTTTACTTTCTGATGTAGAAGGTTGACCTACATCTGCATCTGCCATTTTTTCTTCGGGCGTTGCTGTTTTTTTATCTAACACCTTTTGTTAAACTGTTTTTTCTTGAGCAAATACACAATCCAAGTTTAGCTGGGGTACTAGTTTTTAGAATGTAGGGATTGGACAGATGTCTTTTGGAGAAACAATTTGTTGATGAGGTAGTGGTGGACTAGGAGTTATATGTTCTCACATTGGATGTTTTGGTTGTTCATGGTTTGGTTCTATTATTTCTTCATCCCTTTCGTCTTGTGTTTCTAAGTTCTCTTGAATTCCAAATTCAAAGTCCCTAAAAATATGGCGACAAATAGGGACCAGTCCAGTTTTTTGGAAACCATTGCAAGATATTTCCATCGTCGCAGCTTTGTTATACGCTTTACAAAAATAATGGCAACGGCATAAGTTGACACAACACTCAACTAATTTTATCTAAGCCAGTTTTCTATTTCTTGTGCGTAGTAAGTTTTCAGCGGTGCCATAAAGGGAACATTCAACGGTTGTTTTTTATGTTTAGAATTTTATGTCAAATAATCGTCACATGATTCTGTTTGGCCAAATTTATTAGAGCAACGTTTCTCGTATGAGAAAAGTGCCCATCAAGGATGAGAAGAACAGGGTCTGCAGTGAAGGTTTAGTAAATGTTATGAAGTGTTGAAGCCATCAAGTAAAAATATCGGCCTGTACCCAACCTGACACATGGGATTCTGCGACTACTCCATTGGGAGCCCCTATCATCAACTCTATTTTCATATTTTTTCTAGGGAAGATTAATAATGGTGGTACGAAAACTCCTGCAACATTCATACTTGTAATAGCAGTAATCAGCTTGCCCCTTTCTGCTGAAGTAAGTGACGAAACCTGCTTCGTCCCTCTCATGGAAATTACTTTGCTATGTTTGTGCTGAAAAATTGTAAGGCCTGTTTCGTCTACATTGAATATACGTTGTGCAGGGTTAGTAAGCTTAAGATATTCTGGTTTATACAGGTCAAAGAACTTGCATACATTTTTAGGAGTAAAGATTTTACTCGAGCACATTATATTCTCGGGAGTACTAAGGAGTACGCATTGAAAGCGTCGGATGCCTTTTCAGAAAGAGCCTCAACCATTTCTTTCCGGGTGATTTTTTGACTCCGCTAAATGGATGTGGTATTGAGTTTCGTATTGCAAGTTGAAATCTCAGTCGTTTTTATATCACGTGCTCTTAGCCCGAAATAACGTTGCTCCATAGTTAGGGCATACTCAACCAACTCATTCTAATTTCAAAGAAAAAATATGTCGGCGGCCAATTGATATCCCAACGAATTCTTTTAAAATTTTGTCTGATTTCACATATCGTTCTAAGGTATCTTTTGGTACTTCAAAAACTTTTGAGGCCTTTACATAGCCCATCTCTCTATTTCTTACTGTATTTACAGCCCGTGTCACATCATTTGCGTTCAATTTTTTATTTTTTGGCGGCATCTACAAGCAAAAAAACACATAAAAATAAAAATTTTACACGGGGTCCTAATTTAAGACACTCACACACTTAAATTTGGAACCTACAGGTATCTCAAATTAGGATGTTTCCGTTAAAAATAAAACGCATTTCTGTTGGTTATGTATGCCACACAATTACCGTTTAATTTACATAAAATGTAATAATTAATATTAAAATACTACAAAAAAAATAATTGGAGTAGGGTAAACTGTGCAAATACCAGTCAGTGGGTAATGGTGGTCATCCCGATTGTCGAAATCTATTCAATTTGGCAGCCTTCTAT